TAAAAATAAGAAAAAATTCGGGTAACAGACCGTGTCGTTACCTAGGGCTAGTAATTTCATAAGATAGCGAGATTTGATACCAAAGTTGATTAGACGAGTCAGTCGAGGATGTAGACGGAACCATGAACTTGAAGTTTTCTCTTAATTTATTTTATTTTATTTTCTTATTTATATTTCATTCTTAGATAGATTAGATTTATAATCCCCCCCCCCCCCCCATTTATCGCTTTTCATAATTTCAATTAATACAAGAATATCACAATTTGATTCACACTCCTCGTAGGATCGACCCTTACTTGTCCCTACTATTAGTTAGTAGAGGTTAGCTAAGGAAAATATAAATTTGAACTTTGCCGCGTTGCGATGCGCGGTCAATTAAATTGTCAAATTATTGGACCCAGTTTGAAAGTGGTCAATATCGGGGTGGATTTTTGGACAGTTGACAAATTATAGGACTAATTTTGAATTTTTGCCATTGATTATTTATTTTATTGCATGTTCACAAAATTTCACGATTTTTATGCACAATATTTAATAAATAATTATAAAATATACTTGTTGTTTAATTTGTAATAATATATGCTATGAATATTTAGACTTTTTTATTGATTAAATAATTGACATAGTGATTTGATATGCAACTTGTTAGTTTCCGATTTCAATATTATCACATGCTTGATGTTAGAAATAGTTGTTACATAAAATTTGTACTTTAGGCTTAGCAAGAAAGAATAGCTCCCCCAAATTTTCGCCGTCGCCTAGCTTCTCCTCCCTCTCTTCAGCCGCGCCCCCCTTCTTCCTCCGGCGACCCACAACTCCAACCTCACTGCCCCTTCTTCGTCTGGGCCATGAGGCTAGTGGCCCTTCCGCCTTCCTTGTGCCGCGACTCCAGTTGCGGCCGTGAGCAGGAGAGGTCCAATGGTGCTCGTGCCGCTCTCGGGCCAGGTTCAGTGCCGTCGACTTATCCTTATGCCTCTACCTCAGTCCGGACGATTTCGGTGTCCTAGCCGCAGCTTCGTCTAGCTCACTTTGCCACCGTCTCCTCTAGGTTGATGACCATCCGGCTGGTTTCGCCACCGAATCGAGTTCCCTAAGGATGCGCGAGTTTGGTCCTCAAGCGTTGTTCGCAGTCGATCCATTCGAGCCTACTTTCCCTGTTGAACAGTGGCTTCGGGCTTTTCGATCTGGCGTCGGTTCTAGCTAGCCGCTTCTGTGGAGTTTTTAGTTCAAGGGTCCAATTCTGTTGTGCTTTAGGCCCTGTTCACGGTCTTCTTATTTGTGGTTGCTGGCTTCATTCTATTTGGGTTTGTTGTGAGTAGCTGGTTGTAGTTAGGGAGGTAGTAGTCTATAGTTAGTTTAGGTGTTTGTTGTTTTCTTTTTTTAGTCTGTGTTCTCCAAGTGGAGTATTTAGTTCGATTTTAAAAGGGGTTGGGTCAGCAGTTCGGGCTCAATGCTGATGCCATTGCCGGATTATCTGAACCCAATCCCTTTGGTTTTGTTTTTCTAGGTTGCTACAGTTAGCATCTTTCTCGATTCCATCTCTTTGGTGCTTTTATAAGGGCGAGTGCCCTTCTTTCAGTGTAAAATCTCATTTCTTGAAGGATTATAAATTTTATCGTTTCGAAAAAAAAAAAAAAAAGAAATAGTTTTTTTTTCGCCGGAACGATAGATGTACTATAAAAAGCACAAAAGTGCAAAGAGAACAAATTACAAGACCCCAACGGGGTAATCTAAGACCCCAACAGGGTAATGAGACAGGGGCCAACGGCCCAAACCAAAAACACGCCTAATAAAAGAACAGGAAGAGAAAACTGAGAGGACACGCACATGGCGGCCTAGAGAACTCCACAACCGAAAATAAAGGAATATAAATAACAGAGCCACTGCCCAATGCCTAGCCTGTATTCATATCCAAACAAAGACAAACAAACACACAGACCAACTAACGAACAAAAATCACAGAAAACAACAAACAAACACTAAGCACACTAAATAAGCCCTTCCTAAGCAGCGAAACCAAGCTGAGCCGATGGATACCGAGTCAATCCAGAGAGAGTCCCACAGCCAAAGAGAGCCGACCCGAAACTGCCCAAACACCAACTTGGTGGCCTAACGAAGTCAAAACCCAAGCCCCAGAACAACATCCGAAATCAAACTCGAGCCACAACCTCAACATAAAAAATGCCTCAGGACAACCACGTGATCGAGCCCACTAACACCACTAGCGAGTCCAACCAAACCCGGTAAACCCCCGAACCACAAAGATGCCGAGGCCGCAACCACATCACCGACCACCCGAAACCACTGCACACCACCACCCACCACTGCCCCACCTCTGCCATCACCCAAAAAAGAAATAGTTGTTAAATGCATTTTCACCATAACATTTGAAACTTATGTGGACAAATATACTAAAATGTTATACCATACTATTATATGCTAAAATATTCCATTTACTGTTTATTTTACTTTAATTTGTTCACTTTATTATTTTAGCATAAATAAATTGTGTACAATGTTACATATAATTTTAAAACTCATAGTTTTTACATTAGGATACTTAAAACCGTCAGTGACTATTATTTAATTTTTAATTTAATCAAATAAATGTTATGAACATTACACTTTTGCTTCAAGCTAATAATTCGTTTCGTGAGTCAAGAGATAAAGGCCTAACTTATTCTTTTAAAAATTATATAGTTGAAGCATCAATTTGTTTTACATACACATTATTCATAAATAAAACGTAGTGGGAGTATATAGAGTAGACAATGCGTGTTTAAACACAAAATTAAAACATGAAGCAACATATAAATAAAATGTCTTTGGGGAGCGTTCTACTATACCGCATAGCTCTTTTAGTAATAAATCGATTTGCGCACAACGTACAACTTGGAATTATAAGAATATGACTTCATCATAACCTAACTAACTCTATACCCGACTCTATCAAATACTTCTCTGGCCACAATGTGTGGACTTCAAACTAGCTATGGATCTCTTCTAGCTACAAAAGCATTTAATCCCTACACATTCAAAGTGTTCGTGAATAAAAAAAAAAAAGTTCTTCATTGCTGTAAGAGCACACATTGATTCACTGTAAAACAACAGAACTGCAAAGAGCTCAAGCACTCAATGAAATATGGAATGATGATTTGATAATTGCAGTAGCCTTTCTTTGAGCCTTTGATCAAGCATATATATAAATTTATCAACGGTAAGGGGCCTTCACATTCCCATGCATTGACTCATTTCCATGTTGAGTCGATTTCCTTCCCAATTGACTTCTTCATGACTTGGACATAATCTTTTTTATATTGAAGTTGTCTCGTAATCACAATTGGCGCTAATTTTCCTTTGATTCACTATCTTTCCTTAAAAAAATACAACAAATTCATAGAAAGAGATTTATCAAATATAACGTTGTTTATTAGATATTAATATATACTACTTACCAGACTAAATAAATATAGTATCTAAGGAACTAAATTGAATTACATGAGAGAAGGTGAATCTACCCTTTTATTTTTTTGTTTTTTTTGCTCGCCTTATCGAAAAAATCATCAAGATATTAATTTGTCCAACTTTTGCCAAAATTAAATCTTACAATATCCCCCTTAGGCATTTGATTCGAAAATTTAAGTAAGCACACTCTACTTATACTTTGAAAATGTCTGGATTTTCAAAAATAATTTCGAACTTTTTCGAAATCAAAATAACTTTTAATAATATCGTCTTAGGGTACTTACTAAAACTCTTTCTTTCGTTCTTATCTTAACCTAAGTCTTGCATTTAGGTTCTTAGTAAATCTTTTCTCGAAACTTACTTTCTATTCAAATCAATTTAGACAAAGCCGTGCGATCGATACTAGTCTTTAATTGAAATGAAATAACTGAATCTCAACATGCAAACAAAGTTCCAAAACAACTGAAAAGTAACATGTTCGAAAATGTTTTACCGAAAGCATAAAAACTGCAACATGCGTTCAGGAAAATACCCACAAAAATACATCAATTGGATGGTTGTGTAACTGACAGTGAATTAGAATGAATCTTTAATCAAACACATGTTCAGTGAAGCTGACAGTGTAACAATCCTAAACATCAACACATTGGATCTAGATCTAGAGGACAGATGGTTGTGGGGCTTGGATACAAAAGGGCCGGTTCTTTGTAGCTACTTCATATGCACATTTAATGAAAGGTAAAGTTCATAAATTACATAGAATAGAGGGGAGTAACTCTACCAAGCAAGCTAGGATAGCCAGAAACAAAAGTTGGAGAATGAGGGTAAAAGGGAAGCTGAAACATTTTATTTGGAAGTGTTTTCATGGGATACGTCAGGTGAACATAAATGTGAGGAAAAAAAGACTAGACATTGATGTTCTCTGCAGGAAATGTGTTGAGGATGAAGAAACAGTGGAGCACTTATTCTTCAAGTGTAGCAGAGCAAGGAAAGTATTGAAGCTTGCCCCTCTCAATTGGATGGAATTTAGTCAGAAAGTAACTTCAATCTTTGGTGGTGGTGGCGGCAGGTATGTCCCATTGACAAATCAGAAGTCTCTAAAGCCTGATACAACTTCCTACATGCATACTTTGGTGGCTTTGGAGAGCTCGTAATCTTTGGGTGTTTAGCGGTGTCTAGAAATCGGAGCTGACAATAGTAAAAGTTATTGTGCAGGAGTGGCAAGAGTATGTCGCTATCTCTAGCTGGTTGGAGTTGTAAAGATTAAAATTTTTATCTAAGTACTTTAGCGGTGTTTGGAAATTAGAGCTGACAATAGTAAAAATTATTGTGCAGGAGTGGCAGGAGTATGTCACTATCTCTAGTCGGTTGGAGTTGTAAAGATTAAAAGTTTTATCTAGGTCTTTTGAGTCAGTGACTTAGATCTTTTTTTTTTCTTCTTGTTGTATTGGTGTAGTCTAGTTTGGGATNTTTGAAAGAAAAAATGAAAATAAAATTGAAAGTGTCAGTGTGGTACAAGCGATTTCTCTGAGTGGCGCTCTTTTCGCCTCCACCTAAGCACTCGACAAGAATCAAAATGCGGTGCGAGGAAGACTCGACAGTGAAAAACTACTCAATCACGCCAAACACTTCCAACTCCCTATCAGTCTGCTAATTCTCAGGGCAAACAGATATAAACGTACGAGCAGCCTTCACAATTTCGGATCCCTAGAAATTCTCGACAACAAATTACTCTTGAGCAACTCCTTTCATTTGTAAAACAAATCTTATGGAGCTGCTCCGATCGAATCTCTTTCGTGTTCGGATTCCCGAGCCGAGCAATCGCATCTACAAGGAAGAGTGTTGCATTTCCTTCGATACTCCGGTTTGTTTTCGCCACGTTTTTCTCTCCGTAGTTTTACTGTGCATGTAAATGCAAACCTAGAGGTGGATTTAAAGTTTTTAACGCAGTCACGAGTTTGCTTATTCATTTTGGTGGAATTGTTGTCTGCTGTTATGTTTGGTTGTGGTTTCTGCTCTTAAACCCTGAATTAGGGTGTGAGTTTGTTTTGTTTGGGGCACTTGTGGTGGTTGGAACACATTATGTGTTGACAATGCTGCTGTGCCTGAGATCTGTTATGTACTAACTTGTTGCGTGGTGGCGAGATTTGTAATTTGTAATGAATGTGAAGATGTGAGTAAGCTAAAATGCTTCATTGTTTGTTGCTTTGAGTTTCCTTGAAAGGTGTTCAATACTGCTGATTTTTCCATCCATTATTTGTTACTGATTACTAGAGTTCTTTTTTTTTTTTTTTTTTTTTT